TTTTCTGCTATATGCTCTAGAGGAGAATTTGTTTCCTTACCTCCTCCAGCTTCTAGAAGCTACTTGCACTCCTTGGCTCATGGTCTCTTCTTTTTTTTTTTTGGAGAAAAAGAGAAAGACCAGTTGCCCTGGTTTATAAATAGTTCTGCCCAATATGTCAATACCTCCTGAAAGTGGATAGCTTCAGCATTATAGGATCACTCAAGGGTATCTTTTGAAAGGTAATGGGGCAGATAAATCCTACTAGTGAGCAAATCAAGCAGTGAATCAGTTGATCAAGAAAGAGACATGGCGAGTTGAAAGGATCTATACTGATTTATGGTCAGTAGCTAACAGCTTTCATGGATGCTGTGGGACTTAGAAGGAAAAATATTTAAAAATTGAAGTTTTTAATTGGACAAAGAGTTTTTGGAAGGAGGTTTATGGCCAGCCTTCCAAGAGTGGTAGATATTTGTTTGTCATGTGAATGCTTGCTGTTGTAACCGGGTGTCCCAGGTTCTCGGGCTCACTTGCTCCAGGAATGGGGGAAAAGGCCCGGGTGGTCCAGTGAGTTTACCGTTCATGTAAATATCACGGACCCAAAGAGTTTAGCAGAAAGCGATTTATTAGGCAGAGAGAGAGAGAGAGAGAAAGCGAAAGAACTCCCACACTGCCAAGGGAGGGGAATCTGAAGGGGATATCCGCACAGGTAGAAAGGGAAAGACAGCTCCCACATTGTTGTGGGAGGGGATCCAGAGAGGGAAATGCACAGATAAGGTGCAGTGGAGTTTTAACTTTGAAGTTATTCCCACCCCATTCATGTTCTTGTCCAATTAGAGGAGTTCTTTCAAACTTCCTCTGGCGTGATTGATCTTTGACTCTGATGCTGGATTGGCTGTCAGGCTCAGAACAGAGGCCCTTCTTCCCAGAGCTTTTCGCGGGCTTTTTTTTTTTTTTTTTTTTAAGAAAGGACCACACCTGGAATTTCTACCTAGCCCTTGCTTTGCGGGAATGTTCCTGGATGAGGAAGTGGATGGAGGCATGGCGCTGGGAAATTCTTGCCTTTGAAACACAGGCAGTTTTCCTTAACACAGTCCCTCACTGTGATGCTTAATTTTACATGTCAAGTTGGCTGGGCAGTAGTATCCACATATTTGGTCAGATATTAATTTGAATATTTCCTTCAGGGTATTTTTTGGATGAGATTAATATTTAAATTAACGGACTTTAAGTTAAGCAAATAACCCTCCATAACGTTGGTGGGCCTCATCCAATCAATGGAAGGCCTTAATAGAACAAAGACTGTCCTCCTCTGAGCAAGCAGGAATTCCGTCAGTAGACAGCCTTCAGACTTGAACTGCAATATCAGCTCTTCCTGGGGTCTTCAGCTTGCCAGCCAACCCTGTAGATTTTGGACTTGCCAACTTCCTTAATTTCATCAGCAAGTTCCTTAAAATAAATCTGTCTCTCTATATATACACACATCCTATTGTTTATGTTTCTCTGAATAACGCTGACTAATATATAATACTTACCAAAGGCCATTCACTGCAAAGAAGGCTCTTGTTGATCAGGTGGATAAAATGATCTCTTTTCTCTTATAGCTGTCAGTCTCGTTCCCTATCTACTCCAGTTCTTATTCTATGGGCTTATGCACACAATAGCTAAGTGGATTAGTCCATTCTCACAATGCTATAAAGAAATACCTGAGACTGAGTAATTTATGAAGGAAAGAGGTTTAACTGATTCAAAGTTCCACAGGCTGTATCGGAGGCTTGGCTGGAGAGGCCTCAGGAAATTTACAATCATGGTTAAAGGCGAAGGGGAAGAAAAGCACCTTATTCAGTGGACGACAGGAAGGAAAAGTGCAAGCAGGTGAAATGCCAGGTGATTATAAAACCATCAGATCTTGTGAGACTCATTATCACAAGAACCACATGGGGGAAACCACCCCCATGATCCAGTTACCTCTACCCTTAATCCCAGCCTTGACTTGTGGGGATTATAGGGTTACAATTGAAGATGAAATTTTGGGTGGGGACACAGCCAAACCATATCCTTAAGACAGCAAGAATAGTGATATTATGTATGGGCTAAATACCCACGTATGGGCTTCTCACTGCAGCTTACCTGGCTTCAGGCCTCTGCTGTTTGCCTTGCTTTCCAGTAAGAGAGACCAATGGTGAGCCCTTAAAATGGCACCATTCCCTGAGGGAACATTCAGCCAATTGATTGGTGATAGGTTGATTACATTGGACCCTTTCCTTTATGGAAGAGACAGCTTTTGTTCTCATTTATTCTGGACGTGGATTTACCTTCATTGTCTACAGTGCGTCACCATCACCATCCTTGAACTTACTTAATGCCTTATTTACCATCAGGTTATTATAGGTAGTATTGCATCTGATCAAGAAACTGATTTTTCCAAAAATTGTGGCAATGGGCTTATGCCTACAGAGTTTGCTAGTCTTTCCATGAACCTTATCAGTCTACATCAGGCCTGAGAGAATGGTAGAATGACATCTTTAAGACTCAGATGGGGCCCCTGCCAGGTGTAAATATTTTGTGGAGCTAGAGTACTATCCCACAAGATGTGATTTGTTCTTTGAACTGATGACCAGTATGTGGTATTCTATTCCATTGATCTAAATACTTGTTTTTGTGCTGGTACCATGCTGTTTTTTTGTTTGTCTGTTTGTTTGTTTTTGAGACAGGGTCTGGCTCTGTCACCCAGGCTGGAGTGCAGTGGTGTGATCTCAGCTTACTGCAACCTCTGCTTCCTGGGCTCAAGCCATCCTCCCACCTCAGCCTCTTGAGTAACTGATACTACTGGTGCATGCCATCATGCCTGGCTAATTTTTTTTGTGTGTATTTTTTTATAGAGATGGGGTTTCACCATGTTTCTCAGGCTGGTCTGGAACTTCTGAGCTCAAGCAATCCACCTGTCTCACTCTCTCAAAGTGGTGGGATTACAGGCGTGAGCCACCGTGCCTGACCTATGCTGTTTTGATTACTATCTATCACTTTCTAATAGATTTTGAAATCAAGTAGTCTGATGCCTCCAGCTTTGTTCTTTTTGCTCAAGATTGCTTTGACTACTTGGAGTCTTTTTGTGGTGCCATATGAATTTTAGGATTGTTTTTGCTATTTCTCTGAAAAATGTCATTTTTTGTGTGTTGCTAAGTATGTATAAAGCAGTTGATTTTTGCATGTTTATCTTGTTTCCTGCTAACTTGATTAACAAATTTATTAGTTCTAATAGTTTTTCAGTAGATTTCTTGGGATTTCCTACAAATATGAGATCAGGCTATTTGTGAATAAAGATAGCTTTGCATCTTCATTTCTAATCCGGATGTTTTTTACTGAGGCTTCCTTTGGCAAATTTAAAAAATCACAATTTTCTGAAATGTTGTAAATAAATAGGATCCAAAGTAGCTATGTTTCATTGCCCTTGCCAACTGTGTTCTTTTTAATTCTATTATTTTTTTGTGAAACATATATAAGGTAATGTTTTAAAATCCTAACATATCAATTCCAAGTAATTATTGAATTTAAAAGGAAATCTATTGCCATTTTTTATTTTTAAAATATATTTTAAAATTAAAGGAAAATTCAGAATGCATATCACATAGGAAAATTCAAATTATTGACTCTATTGATATTTAAATTCTTATTAGAAATTTGATATATAATTTACATATATCATTATTTATATATTTAATTGCATCATGTTTATTTTTTAATAATTATTTTAAAAGTAGCTCTAAGCCAGTATGGTGTGGTACATAACTCTAGTCCAAGTTACTCAGGTAGCTGATGGCAGGTGGGTCAATTGAGGTGAAGAATTTGAGACTGTAGTGCACTATCAATAGATTGCACCAGTGAATAGCTAGCTGCTGCACTCCAACCTGCACATCATAGCAAGACACCATCTCTAAAAACATAAATTTAAAAAAATGCTCTAGCATGAGCTCTTCCAAAACTCAACTTTGGTACAAATTATAAATAGCATGAAACTAATGAAGTATCTTTATAATTGTCACTAGTGTATTAAAGTCATTATGTTAAAAAATTATTGTGATGGTGTATCTTGAGTCAACCAAATGAGTATTAAAAAATTCTTTTGGACTTTAACATGCCAGAGCGTTATTTCTAGGTTCCCCTGATGAATACAACAAAGGAAACTTTATACCTAATATCTATGGTTTTGTGTGTCTACTTTAAATACGATTTCTTTTTCCTTCTTATGCTTTTCAAAGATTTCTTTCCCAAAAATATAGAATGATCATCTAGCTAGATAAAGCCACCAAAATAGAAAAAAGAAGAAATCAATGGTGGGATATTGACACCGAAAGCAGCGTGTGGATAGTGAACATGTTGTTTCTAACAAGAGAATGAAAATACAGTTATGTTGACTAAGATGTTCCCCAGTTTTCCATGCCTTTTCATTTTTCATCATTTTTTATTCCATCATATTATATGGAGCTTCATGAAAGAAAACAAAAAAGAGATAAGGAGTTGTAGTTAGGGCTACAAATAAAATTTAATCTTTCTGGATGAGATTTGAGAAGCATGTATGTCGAGAAGCTTAGTTTGGTAATATATTAATTTCTTAAATCTTTGTAATGTTTTCATCAAATTTTATTCCCTAATATAGCTTTTTTCTGTTATATCATGCATACCCTGGCCATTATATCTATCTAATTATTAAATAGCAAATATTTAGAAAACCAGAGATTTTAAAAACTATTATTTGCCTGAGTAAGACAGCATCATACTGGTAAGATAATCCTATCATGTCTTGTAAAGTAAGCAACTTCAGGATCAGATTTAACACTATTCCTCTCTATTAACATGTTAAGTTGGAAATAATATGCTCTTTCAAATTGACATATTTCAATTCTTACTTAAATCAGCAAATAAATAAGTAATCATATTACCTATGGGAATCCCGTCCTTAGCAAAATTGAGAGGAATTTATGTACTAACACTGGTTTATTTTGCTATTTATTGTTTCTCAGATTCTGATGATAGAATTAACCATGGGCGAATTGCTTATATTTCTTCGAAGAGCTGCTCTATTCCGGATGAGAGTTATGGCTGCCTGTCTTCAAACATTCCTGCATTAGAATTGATGGCTCTCTATGTGGCAGCTGCCATGCATGATTATGATCACCCAGGGAGGACAAATGCATTTCTAGTGGCTACAAATGCCCCTCAGGTAGGAAATATTTTTCAGCACCTTTAAAGAGTAATTCCAAAATTTTACAATCATGCTGTGTATCCCTTTATAAATCATTATTTAATTGAATCATATGGTCATTCCATCTGACTTTAAGACTCTACATTTTAATTAAATGGATAATAATACATGGCATTAATGTGATGTGTGCTAGAAAATTAGGGGGAAAATCAGCTTCAACTAGAAAATAGTAAATAGTTTTTGAAATAACTCATTGTTTTGTGAAATTCTAGAGTCCTTGATGTCAGTATTTTTGTCTTTAATCAAACTGACAAAACTCTGACTGTATTTAAAATTTCTGTTCCTCCTGGTTAGGCCCATTGTGTGGTTAGAAAGCTATAATGGTTGAGAACTGTTAATCTTTTTTGTTGTTCTCTTTTTTCCCTAAAGATTTGCCTTAATACCAGACCTTAAATCTCTTACCTCTGAATATATTAGTGTATGCAAAAATTCTTCTGGTATATATATACCTCCTATAGCTAATGGGATATAAAATTCCTTTAAGGTCACAATTTGCATGGGGAAGCAAGAGTTCCCAACAAAAGGATACTGTAATTGCAATAGCTTTTAACATTAAAAATTGGAACTAAATATGTGGATTTAAGTAGAATTTAGTGTGGTTGTGGTTTAAGAAGATTTTTGTGTGGTAGCTGGGTTTGTTTATGCTGGGGATTCCTGAAATGTCATCTGTGTGTTTCTAATTGCATGCTTTATGAAGAGCAGGTATTTAATGAGTGTTGCTGAATTCATCTCACTTCTTCACTTTATCATTCTATGTTTAAACTTTGGCTCTGATCCTCTTATCTTCTGTAGCCATTTTCTGTTTTTCTTTTTTTACGTCAATCTCTTTCATATACTCTAACTTTTTTCAATATAAGAGATATATTCTCTTGAATTGTGAGCATATATGTGGGGTGGGGGGAAAGAATGTAGGGAGCAATGAATATATGTATGTGTAAGTGGGTATAATGGGTGTGTGTGTGTGTGTGTGTGTGTGTAAATGGATTAAAACGGCCATGCGATGTATTTCTCTGATGAGACTTTATTAGTAGCTCATGATTTCCACAGGTAACTTTCTGATGAATTTAAATCTAGTTATTAGTAGTTGCCCACTTTCTAAGTATTATTTTGGAAAAAAAAACAAAAAACCTACCTTCTAAGTGGCACATATTTTCTTACTTGCAGTACCATTCTGCAAGAATCAGATGCCTGTTCTCTCGAGAACCTAGCACATCACAATCTTTGAAAATCCTTGTCTTTTAATGAATCATAGGCCTGAGGAGTAGTGGCATAGTGGAAAAAAAAACTGGACTTGAGATTAAGTCCTATCTTAGCTTTCTGATTTCCCACTTACTAGCTATATGACCTCAAATAAAGATTTATTCCTCTGAACCTAAAAATAGTTTTCTGATATGATTAAGGAGGTAACATATGGAAGGTTTTATACTGTTTCAGATAGCATGAGAAGCTCCTGAATCAGAAATTACATAGGTAGAAATTATTTACTGTTCTAGTCCATTCTCTGTTGTTTTTGTTTGTTTGTTTTGTTTTGCTTTTTGAGATGAAGTCTCGCTCTGTTGCCCAGGCTGGAGTGCAGTGGCTCGATCTCGGCTCAGTGCAACCTCCACCTCCTGGAGTCAAGTGATTCTCCTGTTTCAGCCTCCCAAGTAGCTGGGATTACAGGCACCCACCACCATTCCCAGCTAATTTTTGTATTTGTAGTAGAGATGGTGTTTCACCATGTTGACCAGGCTGGTCCCAAATTCCTGACCTCAGGTGATCCACGTGCCCCAGCCACCCAAAGTGCTGGGATTAAAGGCGTGAGCTACCATGCTTGCCCACTCTGTTTTTATGACTGCTTTCCTTTGCTTAAAGTATATCCTCTTTCAAGGATGTTACAAATGAGTGAATTCCAAAGTTAACTCTCTCACATGAAGATAATTTAAAACAATGATATATGAATACAGCTTATACAAGTTGGGTACCCAACTGTTGTCCTCATCAAAATGCAGTCATGAAGTCTGAACATAATATCAATAATCATGTTATTTCCAGCTTCTCATTGTTAAGAATTTCCATTAGATGAAGCAATAGGAAGTGCTAGCATGGAAAGGAGATTGATTAGAGAGTTCACCTGTGAAAATATATAGCCTCTTACCTAGTCTTATTGCTTGTTCCCTGCTCTCCTTCAGTCTATTCTCAACGCATAGCCAGAATGTGACCCTGTTTAAGTGTGTTACATCACTCTCTTCCAGATGCTCTGGTTGGGTGCTGTGGCTCACATCTGTAATCTCAATACTTTGGGAGGCTGAGACAGAAGGATCTCTTGAGCCCAGGAGTTTGAGACCAACCAAATGGGCAACATTTGAGACCCTGTTTCAGAAAAATAAAAACAAAAAAGTAAACTCTCCAATGGCCTTCACCTTACTCCTAGTAAATGACAGTCATAAAATGTTCCACAAGGCCCTGCATTATTAGCCCCATTAAGTCTCTCTCTCTCTCTCTTTTTTTTTTTTTAACTTAAGTGTAGTCTCACTGACTTCCTTGCTCATACCATCACTGTCCTAGGAACACTCCTTTTCTGAGAGTGTTTGTACTTTCTGTTCTCCCTGTCCAGAGGAATTTTTCTTTAGATATGCATGTACTCATTTTGTCACCTCCTTCCATCTGAAATTTCAAAATCCCTTCCTTACACTGTTATGCTCCTTCTCTGCTTTTTTTTTCGTAGCAGTGATCATTTAAGATACTATATATTTTATTTATGTGCTTTGTTTTTTATATGTATCTCCTTAAAGGGATATACAGTTCCACAAGGGAAGGGATTTTTGTCTCCTTTATTCCATACTACCTAGAATAGTGCTTGACATACAAAAAGCTTTCAGTAAATATTTGTTGAATGTTGAAGGATGTCTGAATTCTTCTCTCTGTAGTACTCGTAGGTTTTCTGAAAAACGTTCTGTGCTTCCCAAAGTAATGAAGTTTATGAGGCCTTCTTTTACTAGCACTTGTGAGATAAGGACTCTTGTAAAAGTCTAGGGCTTAATGTGGTTAAGTAACAAAGTAGCTTCTTTCATCTTTGGAAACTCAATGAGTCTAGTAAGGCCATAATTAATGAAAGATACTATAGTTCCAGTGTATTATAGGCAATAGCATATAATACCACCAACTGGCTCAAGCATTCTTCTTCATTCTCATAGTAAGGAGAGTGTGCTAGAAAGATACAGGAGAATTCTTGCCATGAAAGAAGGTTACGCATATAGTCAAGTATATCCTGGAGGAATGTCAGAATTAATAAGATTCTAGGAGATTTCCGAGCTATTTCCAAATGAAAAGTTGGCTGAAAGATGGTGGTTAGTGCTTGAGATAGTAAAATTTCTAGAATATTTTGATGAGACTAGGAAAAAGGAAACAAAATTTTAAATTGAGATTTGTAAATCTGTTGTGTCTCCTAAAATATGGATTAAGATGACTAAACACATGTATCTTTTTCCCCTTCTTCCTGGGAATGCATTAAAATGATAGTAAGGTATGAAGTTCATTACAACAGAGATGAGTAAGAGGAGGAAGGATATTATCGCCAGCAGATAAAAAAAATTTATAACATTTCTGGAAAATGAAAAATGGATGAATATTGACAGGTAAAACAAAAGTACCCAGCGTAGCTGGAACCCCAGAGAGACTCCTGTTACCATTTGCTCCTGTTTGTTCTCCCTATGCACACACACACTTTTAAGCAAGGCGACTATAACCCTATGTTTACCTCCAGGCAGAAAACTTATCTCTTAGATATTGAAGGAAACTGCCTGGAGAGAGTGAGTTGCTAGAGTGGGTGTTAGTAGTCCAAAGTAAATTTTTTGCATTCTAAACATCTAATAGCTGGCACCCCAGCTATTCTAAAGCAAAACTTGCTAGGTAACAAACCCTATCCATATTTACAGATTTCCCTCTCATTCATCCCAAGGGGAGTGACTCCACAATAAAACATACATAACAGCAGAGAGAAATTACAACTGCAATCTATAATTCATTTATTTATATATACAGATAATCAAAGATCATCAGACATGGCATTAACCAGAAACTTGGAAAGAAAAGGCTAAGATGGAGAGAATAACTGACCGGGGGAATCTAGGGAATAGAGAATCATCTAATTATTTTTTTAAAAAGTATTCTCAGAGAATTTGAAAAACACTGCATCCGTAAAGTAAGAACAGGAAACTATGAAAAAGAAACATCAGAGAACAAGTTAGGCTCTTAGAAACTAAAAATATTACTGCAGAAAATTTTAATAATTCAATAAAAGCATTGGAAGTTAAAGTCCAGGTCATCTCTCCTAGAACATAGACCAGGAAGATAAAAAGAAAATATAGGGAAGGAGAAGATAAGACATATGGGACTAGGTCAAGATGTGACTAGTGGAAGTTCTAAAAAGTAGGGAGTCTTTGGACTGAAAGGGCTCACTAAGTGCCAGGAAAGTTGAAGCGAGAGAAAAAAATCTCAAACCCCACACATAGCACATCATGCAAACATTTCAGAACACCAGAGCTTTTATTTTTAAAAATAAAAGAATTCCTTAGAAGATGAAAATAATACATCTATAAAAGAACAAAAAATCAACTGTCATTGTATTTTAGCAACAATAGATGCTAGACAATACTAACATGAAGTCTCTAAAATTCTAAGGGATTTTATTCATTCATTTATTTGTTAATGTATTTATTGGGTGCGTATTGTGGGATAGGCACTATTTAGGCATTGTTATATTAAATAAAACATGGGTAAAATCTTGCCTTTCCTTGAACTTTTACATTCTAGTAAAGCAAGAAAATAAATAAATAAATGAATAAACAAACAAACAAACAATGTGTGTGTAAGCAAAAGAGAGGGCGGAGCAAGAGAGAGAGAGAGAAACAGAGAGAGAGAAACATATGATTATGACTTAAGAGCTAGGAGTGCTGGCATAAGAGTATTATTTTCAAGTTAGAGCTCTGTATTCAGCTAAGCTACCATTTTACCTAAGAGCAAAATAAAGAGATTCTCAGATATGCAGTGATTTTAAACAATCACGTCTTGACCATCCTGAGAAAGTTATTTTAAAATGTATTTTATCAAAACAAGGGTGGTAACTAAGATAAAGGAAGATAAGGGATTATTAGAAATTTTAGAACTGATATGGTGTGTCTCTGTGTCCCCAGCCAAATCTGATCTCAAATTGTAATCCCTACATGTCAAGAGAGGGCCCTGGCAAGAGGTGATTAGATCCAGGGGACAGGTTCTCCCATGTTCTCATGATAGTAAGGGAGTTGTCAAGGGATGTGATGGTTTAAAAGTGGTAGTTTCCCCTTTGTGCTTTTTTTCTCCTGCTGCCTCTCTTGCCTCTCCTTTGCCTTCCACCATGAATGTAAATTTCCTGCGGCCTTCCCAGCCCTGTGGAACTGTGAGTCAATTAAACCTCTTTTGTTTATAAATTACCCAGTCTCAGGTATTATCTTTATAGCAGTGTAAATACAGAAAAGAACAAACTGACAACTTCAGGGTAAAAGAATCCTGAGATGATAGTTTTTCATCAAGACCACTTACAATAGCAAAGATGTGGAACCAACCCAAATGCCCATCAATGATAGACTGGACAGGGAAAATGTGGCACATATACACCATGGAATATTATGCAGCCATCAAAAACGATGAGTTTGTGTTCTTTGTAGGGACAAGGGTGAACCTGGAAACCATCATTCTCAGCAAACTGACAGAAGGGCAGAAGATCAAACACCGCATATTCTCACTCATAGGCGGGTGTTGAACAATGAGAACACATGGACACAGGGAGGGGAGTACTACACACTGGGGTCAGTTGAGGGGAAATAGGGGAGGGACAGTGGGGGGTGGGGAGTTGAGAAGAGATAGCAAGGGGCAAGATGCCAGATGTAGGTGATGGGGAGGAAGGCGGCAAATCACACTGCCACATGTGTACCTATGCAACAATCTTGCATGTTCTTCACATGTACCCCAAAACCTAAAATGCAATAAAATAAATAAATGGAAAAAAAAAGAGTATTTCTTTACAAAACTAGCTGCTTTATTTTCTGTAGCACCTTATTTGTCTGCTTTCTCTTTCTACTGGATTTTTTGAATTGGGAATATTATTTTTTAAATGAACAATTCTTCTTAATCCTTTTCACTTGAAGTACTTTTTTAGTCATTAGATAATGAGTATGACCTAGATTTTTGTTAATGTTTCCTCCTGTTTCTTACATTTTAAAAGGGGACATTTGCTCAGATTAGTCAGACTCATCCTTTGTATGATCTAAGTCTTTCTTATGTCTGAAGGGTTTGCTCTTTTTGCTCTTACTTATTTAAAAATGTTACTATTTGTTAAGATTCTGACAGTTTGTATTAAACCTCTTCTCAGATTTTTCCAACTCAGAGGGTGAAAAGTAAGGTTTATGACCAACTAATTTGCTTTCCCCAAGTACTGATGTATTTGTTGTAGAGAGTAAGATCTAGAAAAAGCAGGTAACAATATACTTTAGCTCAAAGTCAAAGGATGTTAGTTTATTGCAACTCCAAATGAGCTGGGGCCCTGTTTTTCTTCTCTACTTCTAAGAGCCCACAGTAAGAGCTGAGGCTTCATTATCTGCTTGCTCGAACTGTTTTTCTTACTCAGTTTAAACTTGGTCTGCTGCTCTATGTGCTACCTTCTAGTGTCCTTCTAAAGTAGAATTGACATTTGCTTCCTACTTGCTGCTTCATGATTCTTTCTTGCCTCCCACTCACCTTTGAGCTTGTGAGTCTACTGAGGTCCAGCAGGGAACCCCTTCCACTTAACTCTTCAGATAGGTTTCTCCTTCTTATGCAGTGAGTTGGTTGGCTTTTCTCAATCCATTCTCATTTTCACCATGTCTTTGAAGTTTTCAGTATTGTGTATATATCTAGATTCTAATACTGATTTCGACTGTTTTTCCCCCATTTTATATGTCTTGGCAATTTCAAAGAGTAATTTGAATGTTGAAGGAATTCTGAACTTACTCATTTTTTTAAAACTGATCTTGCTAGCTGTGAGTTTATTAAGTTAGCTAGCTTCACAGGGCACTCATTGTACATTGTGTTTTATTGAGCTTGGAATTGAATTACTTTCTCCTGAACAGACAGAGCTGTTTTCTTTTTTTTTTTTTTTTAAAGGAATTTTTATATTCTTACTACCATTATGCTATAAAAACCTTAATAACCAGCTGGATCTCTTTCTTGCAAATAGGACATAAACCCCCAGCCTTCTTCAGTCTTCTGGCACAGTGAAAACAAGTGACAAGATGGCCTGTCCTCCCATGAATAATGTTCCCATCTCGTGGTCTTTTCTCACATAAGCTACATGGCTTCAAAAGATTCTGGCAATCCTCCGTGTTTTCTATATCTGTTCTCTGTTCAGAAAGGTTATCTAACTGTTCTCCCATGCTTGAGATGGTCTCTTGGCTTGCAGAACTGTGAGCCAAATCCAATAATCCCACCAAGTTGCAGGGATCAAAAAGTTTGGAGTTTTTTTTATATACACATCTTTAGGTCTAACGACAGGAGCCGAAATGGTTCTTGACAATCAGGCACATCAATTCCTTCATTTTCCTTTTCAGGTATGGCAGTGATGTCAGATGTGGAGAGAGAATGGGTTAGCATTGAACAATCTGAATACCAATCCTTCAAGGCCCAGCAACGAAAACAGTACCTCTTGCTTGGAGAGTTAAATTTCTTGCATTCAGTACACTGCCACTCATTCTCAGAGGTAACTTCTACATCAGTATCATCACTTAAGGACTTACAGTCGTCAAGATCATCATTTTTCCCCACTTCAATCACCTTTTTGTCACTTATTTTCCCTACTTCTTCACTTGCTTGTTCAGTATCAGCAACTTCAACTTTTATTCCAACACCTAACTGCTCTGATACTGATTCATTCAAAAACCACAAGTCATCTGTAGTATCTGAAACAATAGCAGTACCCACATCCGGATTTGTCTGTAAATCAGTTGAGCCACTACTTCTAGGTGTATAGTTGTTTCTCAAGTTTCCTAAAAATGACCAAGGCAGGCCAGCCACATCCCACTCCTCAAATCCAAGGTCCAGCCTAGATGTCTCATCTTGGGTTAAATTTTCTATTAAGTCTTCATTTTCTCTAGAATTTACACATTTATACTGTGAGGTAGGCAGTGTGGGGATATCATCTTCTGCAGTTCTTCTCCTGGAAGTGGAACTTTCCGCTGCACTTTGCTTCAGTTGGTCTTGACTTGGAATATCCATACTGTGATCCTGTGCGAGAGCGAGAGTCTGAGCAGCATCTGTAGTAGCAGTGGCTAAAGTGACAAGATTCTTTCTTAGCATATCATAGAGAGGGCTTGGGTCTTTCACGGAGGAGCTCTGACATCCCAGTAGTTCTCCCAAAAGATCTCCACCACAATATACCATATGCTGTTCCTGCTGATCATAAAGCTGCTTCACCAATATGTACTGACCTAAATAGTGCATGACCTCTTTAACAGTGAACATTTCACCTTGCGCACCTGCTGCATGCAAAATCTTCAAAATTTGGTCGTTTTGGTCGTACCTGATTGGTTTGTCCAGAAGAGATCCTACAAGCACTGTCAGATGTTGAACACTGGGCAGAGGTGGAAAATGGTGTCATTTTGGCAGTGAAGAAACTGCAGTCTGTTGGTAAAACTTACGGCAGCTCCGTGAATCTCTCCCCAGTCGAGCCCCAGAGCTGTTTTCATAGTTAAAACTTTGTCACATTTGAGCATGAATTAGTCAAGTCATTACTAAATGTAAATGGATGCCTTAGGGAGTCTTTGAAGCTTACTCTTTGTCTTTGGGATTCATAAAGTTTAGAAGTTGTATTATGGGTGGTATGAAATGCCTTTATATGACCCACTGCAAAGTTTAAATCATAGCATTGCTTGCGTAAAATTAAATAGTGTAAAAAATAATCACTTGGTGTTATGCATCTGTGCTTAAATCTAGCCTATAGCTAATTTTCACAAATAAGTACAGCTATTTAAGCTCTCAGAATGTGTATCCTACCTGAGATCTCATTCTAGCTGTCCTTCTTTCTCATTACACAGTAGGTGCCATGAAAACAGGGATAGGGTTTTAATTTTTATCCCTGGACTTTAACACAACTTGGCTGTAGAAGTTCTTTTAATAATTACTATACTTGTTTAATAATTTAAAGAATTGCTTAATTTTTAGAGGTGGAAGAGGCTTTAGAAATTCCATACTCCACTGATTCTGAGTCTGTATTCCAAAGTCCTAGAGTACTGAGGAGGCACCTCAGGGTCTTCCACTGAAGTGTAGAAAAAATTAGTACTTCCACACAATTAGGACCAGAGGATTTGTGTTTTTATCTGTTACATAGTTCTGTTTTACTCCCAGGCACTAAGTGAGGATGGGAATCCAGGATATGTCCATCTCAGACAGGCAGGTCTCTTACCCTGGACAGTACTCCTGCTTCCTCTTCTTTAGTCACCATCCCCATTGACTCCAGAATGACTAAACAACAGAAATGTATTTTGAAACCTGCTCTAGATCCCTAATGACTTTATTCATAGAAGTTTATCTGAGAAGGTTTTCTGATTAAATGAAATAAATAGACCTCAAAATATCAACTTTACATCTCTTGGGAGGCAGCACAGTGTCTGCAAAAATAAACTTTGAAGATAAATAACCCTTTCACTTACTAGCTATGTATGCTGGAAGGAAAGGTATATCTTAACCTCTTTGCATGTCAGTCTACTCATCTATAAAATTATCACAAGTATTTTCACAGGTACTAAAATACCTGGTAAAATGCTTAGTATATAGTAGGTATTCATTGTTTGTATACTTCCAAACTGATATTAAAGTTTATTATCTTTGAGGTGTCTGCCTCATTTTTCTATATTTCTTTTTAGGCAGTTTTATACAATGACAAATCTGTTTTGGAAAACCATCATGCTGCGTCAGCTTGGAATCTATATCTTTCTCGCCCAGAATACAACTTCCTTCTTAATCTTGATCATGTGGAATTCAAGCGTTTTCGTTTTTTAGTCATAGAAGCAATCCTTGCCACAGATCTTAAAAAGCATTTTGATTTTCTTGCTGAATTCAATGCCAAGGTTTGTTATGCAAATTTGTGCCTGATTTTAAAAATGTAAATGTTTATTGTCAGTATTACTGGTAAAATATGTTTTTTAATGTTAAGTTAGAATTGTTACTACTTAGGAAGTAATAAATAATTGATGTAAAATAATATTTATGCCTATATTTTAAAAAATAAACATTTTTATTATGATAAAATTTCCTAAAATATTATTGCTTGTTATATATTTTTTGACACATAAACTTATACAGCTGTGACTTTGCTTCACATACTTTCACATAGAAACAAACCAGTTATTTCAAATGAGTTTAAAGAGAGATATTACAAAGCCATGCTCAGCGTCAAGTAAGGCATTATATAAAATTAATTTTATGTGTTTCTTTTTTTTTTTTTGAGACGGAGTTTCGCTCTCGTTACCCAGGCTGCAGTGCAATGGCGCGGTCTCGGCTCACCGCAGCCTCCGCCTCCTGGGTTCAGGCAATTCTCCTGCCTCAGCCTCCTGAGTAGCTGGGATTACAGGCACACGCCACCATGTTGACCAGGATGGTCTCGATCTCTTGACCTCGTGATCCACCCGCCTCGGCCTCTCAAAGTGCTGGGATTACAGGCCTGAGCCACCGCGCCCAGCCCAATTTTATGTGTTTCTTAAGAATCCAGTTAATTATGCCTACCTCACTGCACCTGTTATACCTTCTTTATATTAGTGATTCTTTAGCTGACTAGTGTAGGGTAAGGGAAGTACTCTCTTCTACTTGATAATAATTCATTCATTCAACAAGTATTTATTGGGATTGCCCACTATGTGCAGACATTGTGCTAGGGAAAAATGAGGAAAGACTAGGTCAAAGAACTCACATGTACCAGGGGATCAAGAATCACTGCCCCAGTATGACAGCATACTCATGGAGACTGTGCTTTATCTCTCAGACATTTGAGGTGAAAAAAGTTGAGAACCACTGCTTTAGATACCCACTCTGGCTTGCAGGAAGCGGCTATTTTCTTGATGACTTTTGTGACCTTAAAGAAGCTGTACCTGCAGGTTAGACAAACTGGTAACAAAGGAGTACTAGATTAAACCTGCTGGTAGGAGACCCTCATATATGTTGCTGTCATGATATTAATGAAATGCTTACAAAAATCAGTGAGAAATCAGGGTACCTTTAAAATTATTTCATAGTTGTATAGTTCTATTCACTTTAATTTTGAAATAAAAATTCATTTAAGTGTTTAAATCACCTTTTACAGGTAAAGGATTATTGAACACAATGCCTTTGAATGTGTGTTCCTTGAAGACTTCTATTTTGAAGTCTCTCAAGAAAATGCCATATGAATGGGTCTCTAGACCTCCTATTAAGTTTCAATCAAAAGGGCTCTTCTTTCAAGTATTTTCTATGGTAGTGTTCTCCATAATTTTTTTTTTTTCTGAAAGAGTTTGGTGCCAAAAAGCAACCATCACACTGAAGTTCAAAAGTTATGATGTGGTTCATTCTTTTCATTTTTTACAAAACAAAATTTTTGTTGTTGAGAGGCTTTTCCTAGCTAATAATGATAATTGTTTATTTAAATAACAATATTTATTTAACATTTACTGTGAATAAGGCATTTTTTCATTTATTAATCCTCATGGCAACATGGCTAGATTGGTATTACTTTTCCTACTTCATAGATAAAGAAAGTTAGATTTAAATAGGTTAAGCAGTTTTTTCATTGTTACCCACTGGTTTTTGATTCAGGATTTAACATGCTGATTCATGACATTCTGTCAGGATTTAAAACTATAGAGCCAGCTTCTCAGACTTGTGTTCAGTTAACTATCCCACGTTGCCTTTCACAGCTAGAGCAAACTTCTCTACGTTCTTAAAGTGTTCTTTTTTGAGGTAGAAATAAGTAGTTATAATTCTTATATGATTTTTTGATACTGTGTATCTACTGTACTTAATAGATATTGTACACACACACACACACACACACACACACACACACAAATCCTGTTTCTTTGTGGTAATCACAAATATTGAAACCCATGGTTGGTTATATGTTTTTCTAGAAAGCATTTTTTGGAAAGGAAATTTAACCAGTAGAGTTCCATGTTATGGAATAAACTGATTTTAAAAAGAACTATTTGCTGAAATTTCTTTCTGTCATTTAGACAGGAAACAGTTTTAAGATAATTTGGTAAAAGCAAACAAAATAACAATTTTAAAAAACACCTTCAGAACTTAAAATGATTTTGTTTTTCCAAAATAGGCAAATGATGTAAATAGTAATGGCATAGAATGGAGGAATGAAAATGATCGCCTCTTGGTATGCCAGGTGTGCATCAAACTGGCAGATATAAATGGCCCAGCAAAAGTTCGGGACTTGCATTTGAAATGGACAGAAGGCATTGTCAATGAATTTTATGAGCAGGTAAGTTGAAACATGAGCTTGGTGAGATTTTTAAGGGCTGTCATGAGAAGACACTGCTCTTTGAGTTTTGGATAGCTTTTTTAAGTGTTTGAAAGCTGAGTTGATTTGACTGGGAAGGGTTAAAAATTGTTGCATTTGCTCTGGTTCTTAGTATTTTCTCTGTTCTGTTTGCCTTTGCTGTTAAAATTTTTTAAAATAGCTTATTTTCTATCTTGGGTGAGCTGAATATACCTGTGAGTCTATAGGTAAGGCTGTTAGCAGCAGCAAATCCATGTGGGTCTGCAGCAACCTCAGTTCTTGCCTCCTCAGAAGACAGAATTCAACTGATGGGCATAAAGCAAAGGGAGAGACTGAGGCAAGTTTTAGAGCAGAAGTGAAAGCTTATTTAAAAGCTTTAGAGCAAGAATGAAAGGAAGTAAAGTACCCTTAGAAGAAGGCCAAGTGGGCGACCTGTGAGATCAAGTACATGGTTTGACCTTTGACTTGGAGTCTGATACATTGGCATGCTTCCAGGCTTGTGTTACTTCTCCCCTGATTCCTCCCTTGAGGTGGCTGTCGCATGTGCAGTGGCCTACCAGCATTGGAGAGGGCCACATACACAGTGTGTTTACTGAAGTTGTACTTATGCTCACTTGAAACACTTTTCCCTTTCCAGTCCAGTGTTCATGGAGGAAGGTCATATACCAGTTAATCTCCACCATTTTGCCTCTTAGTGCACACACTTGAGCCCACTCACCCAGCACCTAAGATCTTATCAGGAAACTGCTAATCATCAGTTTCAGGCTTTTTTTTTTTTTTTAATCTATTGAGTGACTGCCTAATCTATTGAGTGAGCTGCAATTGGTTGCCAGCTGCAACCAATTATTATTTTAGAGAAATAGCTTAACAACCTATCACATAATGGTCGCCTGACATTTCTGATGGGGTGAAGGGTGGGCCCTCTCCTGCTCTGCCCATGTCTGCCTGACTGCCTGCTGTAACAAGGCTAGACTACATTCTGATTCCAAGGTCTCTTTCAACCCTGAGAATCTGTAACCTAGAATAATTTATTTCCAGATGAAGTGTTTTGGGTTTGTTTGTTTTGAGACAGAGTCTCGTGGCATCACCAGGCTGGAGTACAGTGGCTCAATCCTGGGTCACCGCAACTTCTGCTTTCCAATGTCAAGCAATTCTCCTGCCTCAGCCTCCTGAGTAGCTGGGACTACAGGCACGCACCACCATGCCCGGCGAATTTTTTATACTTTTAGTAGGGACGGAGTTTCACCGTGTTGGCCAGGATGGTCTCAATCTCTTGACCTTGTGATCTGCCCGCCTTGGCCTCCCAAAGTGCTGGGATTACAGGTGTGAGCCACCGTGCCCAGCCGATGAAGTGTTTTTTAAGTTATTCAGGGTGTGGTCAGAATATATTTAAAGGATGTCAATCAGTTTTCAACTCTGCTATAAAAAGACTAACTCCCTGTCATAGAAACGTCAGTTGGGAAGAAGTCCAGGCAGAGATTAAGAAATTAGAGGGATAGAAATGGAGAGAGTAGATACCTAGTGGTTTTCAGGGATTCAAAGATATTTTTGGCATTAAAATAATCCTTCCACTTTGCTGAACCTGCCATTTTGGGGGTCCAGTTTTGAGGCTTCCTACAATGTAGAAGTGCACTGATTTCCTGACATACCTAACTTTTTTTTTTTATCTCCAAAATGGTAAATATACCTCTTGACTTTGGAATTACATTCCTTAGGAATCCTTGTTGGCTCTAATTATCAGGAAAAGTCAAGATATCTAAGAGGTGAGGGCTTTCTTACTATGATGGGGAAGAGGAAGTAATTGAGCCTATATAGCTATGCACCTGGTATGCTTTGTTACTTCCAGATTGAATTGAAAATGTGCAATGTTTTACACCCTTCAGCTAAACATCCCAACACAATAATGTATACTCTGCTGTTTATAAGTTACAAAATGCCATACTGTATAATCATGGAAAGATTATTAATATTTTGCTATTCTCCGATACGTTCAAATTATGTTAATTTGGCGTAATAAATGGCTATATTTACTTAAATTTGTAAGATTATAATATGCAGTTTGTGTATTCTCATTCCAATGATAATTGAAACTTGCCTTAGAGCTCGCCCATGGATCTCATGTTTACAAAAGAGGAATTTTATGTAAGGAAAATGCTATCTTTATATTATCTGTACAAATAGTAATAAAAAATAGTGGTGTATGTCAATTTTAGAAAATTCACTGGTTCAATAACATTAGAAATATTCATTTAGACCCAGCATATATAATTATTTTAAAAGCATGTAGAATTAATACTTATTAAACAAACCTGGAAGCCATGCCTGAGGTTGAATCCTGGCTTCTCTTCCTTATCTACAATATGACCTTGGTTGGTTAAGTTACTTAACCTTTCTGTTCCACAGTTTCCTCATTGATAAAATAGGAAATATGATGGTACCTACCCCATAAGGTTTCTGTGAGGATTAAATGAATTAATATATGTAGACTTCTTAGTTTCTGACACTTAAGTGCTCAATAAATGTTAGCTATTATAATTTCATATATATCATTAAAAAACACTATCTCAGAGAGTTTCACTTAATCTTTCTAAGTGTCATTATTCAATATCAAAGGAGGAAGGTGTCATCTGATATCCTACTACATATGGAAGTCTTAATCATCCCTCATCAGAACTAAACTTCTTTCTAATTCTGGTTATGCTATTAAACTTTCTTCAGATATGTGTATAAAATTCTAACTATGCCCAACTTTTTTTATTATCCTAATTATCTTAATATGCCTACAGCCATTTAACTGCCATGGGCTTAGAAAAGCCAAACTCCTGGGATATATCTATGAAATTACAGAGTCCTATAGATAAACCCAACTGTGTTTTTGAAAAATATCAATAGTTTTCTTCCTCATAAAAGATAAAATCATAAAAGATTTCTAATCATGGGACAGTTAATCATGGAAACAGTTTATGGTTGTTTCCTCAGGGTTTTGTTAGGTCATTACAGAATAGACACTGCTTACTTGCAGAATTTGTACATCATGGGGAGTAATTTATCCCCCACCAGTTCAGACACTAGGACTAAAATCTTAATAGTACCATTTGAGAAATGCTCAGTACTGTGCTAAACATTTTACATAATATGGCCTTTTAACCTCATCATAGGCACCCCATAAGGTAGGTTATTATTCAGATTTCATACACAGTGAAATTGCACATTGAGGTTGCCCAACACCACATAGGTAGTAGTCTGATCTCAAATTAAGTCTTGGAAGCCACAGTGGGAGGGTACCAGAAGGCAGGCAGTTGAGGATTCGGTCCCAGGATCCTCACCTCAATCATGATAGCTCTACTTTATTTGTTTTTCATTTTAGGTTTTCTGATTTTGAATCATTAGAGAGTTCTGCTGTTAAAAAAGGGGGTGGAGGTAGTGTTATTGAAAAGCACTTGCAAAATTCAGCTCTGTACATTTGAAATATAACTACAACAAAAATGTTTCTGTTATGCTTTTGCTCTAGGATAAAGAGAATCCATAATTGATACTGTAGAATTCCGCATGCTGTTAGTAAAATTTCTGATACTTATTTTAAAAGATGTGTATGTTTCTTGTTAACTGAGTATCAGCTGTACTGGTTGATGTTGACAGAATGTGAGAATAAAGTTTTGTTTAGGATTTCTCAATATTAAAGAAATTCTTACAGTTGAATTGATAGAATAGATTTATTGATGCTTATTTATAAATATATTTTGATATAGATTATTTTTAAAAACTCAAGATAATTTTAACAGCAAAGCTCAGTGGTGATTCACCAGTTAAAAATGTACTTTTCTTTTTAAAATATGCAGGGAGATGAAGAGGCAAATCTTGGTTTGCCCATCAGTCCATTCATGGATCGTTCGTCTCCTCAACTAGCAAAACTCCAAGAATCTTTTATCACCCACATAGTGGGTCCCCTGTGTAACTCCTATGATGCTGCTGGTTTGCTACCAGGTCAGTGGATAGAAGCAGAAGAGGATGATGATACTGAAAGTGGTGATGATGAAGATGGTGAAGAATTAGATACAGATGATGAAGAAATGGAAAACAATCTAAATCCAAGTAAGAATATAGGGACATTATAATTTATTTAATGTTACAGGTTGAGTATTTCAAGTCTGAAAATCTGAAATGTGAAATTCTCTAAAATCCAAAACTGTTTGAGTGCCAGCATGATGCTCAAAGCAAATACTCATTGGAACATTTGGATTTCAGATTTTTGTATTAGGGATGCTAAATATAATGCAAATATTCCAAAATCTGAAACACTTCTTGTCCCAAGCATTTTTAATAGGGATACTCAGCCTTTAATAACTGCACATGTCCATTTAACTTAGGTTTGGAACTTTGTTTCTCAGATACAGATTCAGCAGTCATTATGTTGAGTAACCACTATGTAAATGTTCAGATTCAATAGTCATGTTTTGAGTAACTGCCGTATGCTGGGTACTGGGTGGATACTGTCATACAACAAGCATTCTTATTGTTTAATTAAAGTAAGATCACTTGAGGTGTTGTCCTCCAGGCAGTATTCTTCAGCAGGCTCCACCTGTGCATGCATGGTAGGGCTGTCACCACATCTGAACATATGTGAGGTAGGTCCTCATGGCAAGTATTCCTTCACGTCACTCCTTCTCACACATCTAACCCCCAGTCCTACTGGGCCCTGAGGAGCACAACTTCCATAGCAGCGTACTAATCTGTCGCTTACATAGACTTGAGAAATAGATCAAAACCGTGGGAGTAAAAGGAAAACATACATTCCCTGGCTGTAAAGGGAGAACCAAGTTTTGTGACATTATGAATTTGAGTTACCAAACTGTAATGACATATTTTTCTATATAAGACAATTAGTATAAATGAAAAGAAAAAGTGTCACTTTGTAATTGTGAATGAAATAGGTTATTTGCTATTTATTTATTTATTTTGAGATGGAGTCTTGCTCTTGTCACCCAGGCTGAAGTGCAATGGCACAATCTCGGCTCACTGCAACCTCCGCCTTCCGGGTTCAAGCGATTTTTCTGCCTCAGCCTCTGAGTAGCTGGGATTACAGGCGCCTGCAACCACACCCGGCTAAGTTTTTTTATCTTTATTAGAGACAGGGTTTCGCCATGTTGGCCAGGTGGGTGTCGAGTTCCTGACCTTGTGATTTGCCTGCCTTGGCCTCCCAAAGTGCTGAGATTACAGGTGTGAGCCACCCCACCCGGCCTATTTGCTCTTTATTTTAAAGTAGAATTAAATTATACCTACGTAAGTGTTGTTTTGATTTTCAAGCATGCAGTAAATAAGACCAGATAAGATAACTACAGACTGCCCACTGCAACACACACCTGCCTTGTGATTAGGATTAGCATAGCAAATCCTATTAAAATATATTTAAAATTATTTTTTAGTGGCATCATAATGCCATTGGCATCTGAAGGTTGACTGACTTCAAAAAATATACCCATCAAGTTGGTAATTGTGTTTAATTCAATACATAAAATGCCCTTAAAGGTTGGTTTTAAACTTTGGGTTGTTATTATTTTCATTTGAAATTTCAGCACAATTATTCACCCTATACCATACCCAGCCAGTTTTCCCTAAATCTCTTCTCTGTTTTGTTTTCATCCATAACAAGACCATCTAACATATTCCTGTTTTGCTTTTTGTTTTTCTAGCTCTTACTACTATAATCTGAACTCCATAATGCAGGGATTATTTTTATAGTACTATTTCATTATATTATTTTTATTATACTATTATTTTTATAGTACTATTTATTTTTATAACCCCAGTGCTTAGACAGATACCTAGAATATAGTAGGCACTTAATATTTGTTGGATGAATGATTAAATCATATTGCTATGATTAGAATATATGTCTTTTAAATTTCACAGAACCACCAAGAAGGAAAAGCAGACGGCGAATATTTTGTCAGCTAATGCACCACCTCACTGAAAACCACAAGATATGGAAGGAAATCGTAGAGGAAGAAGAAAACTGTAAAGTTGATGGGAATAAACTGCCGGGGGAGAACTCCTCCTTACCTCAAGCAGATGAGATTCAGGTCATTGAAGAAGCAGACGAAGAGGAAGAGCGACAGTTTGAGTAAAATAAATCATATTGAAGAAGCCCAGAGGGCTGTGCCCAGGGGCAGAAATCATTGCCTAGTGGTCACCGGCTGACTTTTAACTGACCATTCCCACTTGGACAGGCCTTAATACTGTGAGAGGATCCTTGCTCTGCTGGCAGTTTCCCACTCCTATGCACTTTCACATGAACTAGAAAACTATTCTTAAACCAAGAATACCATCCATGTGGACCCATGTTGCAGAGTCCTTAAATCCTTCACTGGTGTATGAATACTTTGCCGTAATGCTGCTTTGCTGAGTAGTGAGCTCTTATTTTTCATTGGGGGTTAGGTATAACTAAAAACTCAAGTGACTTATTTCAATTACCCAAGTGGCCAGAACTTTTTGCATTTATGAAAATAGATTCATATTGTATTTCCCAATGTGTCTTTTATGTCTTTGAATGTTTTGAAAAAAAGTCTATGCCTGTCTAAAAATGAATCCAGTGTTGCCTTTCTGAGGGATTTCTGCTCAATGCAATACACTGTTCAGTGCTACTCTCCCAGCTAGGTTTATCCATGAAGGACTGAGAAACCTTTGTTATAGTTAACAAAATCCAGGTGCATCAATTTCTGATGCTTTTTACTATTATCTACTATGTGTGCTTTATTTTTACTGAGAGTATTCAGGTTTGCCATGGACATCAGAAGTTTGAATTCCAGTCTTACCTTCTTTATGTTCCATGGCTGAATTTCAAAGCTGTTTAGGTTTAAAATGAAGGGGTTTATTCTTTAGTCATAACTGTTATTTTTACTCTTGCTCAGGATTTGCATTTTTAACATTTAGTTAATGTAAACACAGCACAGATTTGTCAGTAGAAAAAAAAAATTGTCCTAATACCAAGGTTAACCTTTTATGAAATCAGCAACATTTTCTCTCTTAGATGAATTTGAGAGTAATTAAAACCAAGGGAAAGGAGATGTCCGTCTTTTGCCTCAATGCAAAATCAAATGAAATTAATCTCATCAAAGATAAAGAATAAAGAAATGTAGTGAGCCCTAAAGGACACAGACATTGAATAAATAACTGGAATATGTGGTTATCTTTAGATCCATATCTTAGTTGTCATTTGTTTAGTTACTGTAAAACTGACATTCATCTTTCTGTTAATTTCCCTTTGCCTCAAGACTGCATGACAGAAATGACCATTATTTCTGAGACCCAACTGCAAGACTGATTGCTGAAATCAAGTAAAGAATTGGAATACTTGTTTTTCATATACAAAATCTAAATACGTTAATACATCATTTCATACAAAAGTACATTATTAAATAACCACATTATTAAGATAATTGCAAGAAAATGGACCATATTTACAATGTTTTGTAAACTTACTAGTGTGTGGATATGTACCCTAGTTATGAAATACATTTGAAGATATAAAGAGCAGCCAAAATGATAGAAAAATGGTAGACTAATATTTTCTATTATTATTGGAGACCATATCATATTTTGGATTCATGCAATTTTGCACACAGTGAAACCATTAATTTTCCAAGGTAATTCATTTAAAGTATTGTATTAACATGCGGTTTCTTACTTATCTAGAATATTTGGCTTATCTGAAAGAGATCAATTTAAGATCTCTGGAGGTATTAGAACTTTTGATTCTTCACAGTGTTAATACTTAATGAATCACTGAGCTTTATTTATTAGACATGTTGAATGAGGGCTGAGTTCGTTCCTGCCACTTTTGTTACCATTGCCACACACAATTTGTAAACCAGTCCTACCATATATTACTAATTAATAAAATTTCAACTGATAACTTGTTTGCACTTACAATATATATATCCTGTCCTTATATTTCTCTAGAGTACATTTTCCATTCTGTTTATTTCTGCTATTACCTCCTTTCCTGCAGAATATATACAAATGTATGTGTATAAATTCATACATGTGCATACATATTGAGGTTCAGTCACGTTTCCATACTGTCTATTATTTTATTGGATTTTATATTGGGGTTTTTAAGTTTATATTATTTTCTCAAAATCAGCATTTTTAATTATGAATACTGGATTTATTGGATTTAATTATAAATCCAATTATTACTATTTTTTTTTCTTTTTTATTGCATTTTAGGTTTTGGGGTACATGTGAAGAAAATGCAAGATTGTTGCATAGGTACACAAATGGCAGTGCGATTTGCTGCCTTCCTCCCCTTCACCTATATCTGGCATTTCTCCCCATGCCATCTCTCCCCACTTCCCCTCCCTGTGTCCATGTGTTCTCATTGTTCAACACCCACCTATGAGTGAGAATGTGTGGTGTTTGATTTTCTGCTCTTGTGTCAGTTTGCTGAGAATGATGGTTTCCAGGCTCATCCAAGTCCCTACAAAGGACACAAACTCATCAGTTTTGATGGCTGCATAATATTCCATGGTGTATATG